GTGTGTGTGTGTGTGTGCGCGCGTACGTGTGTGTGTCTGTGTGTGCATGCTTGTGTACGTGTGTCTGTGTGTGCATGCTTGTACTTGTGCGTCTGTGTGTGCATGCTTGTGTATGTGCGTGCGTGCGTGCGTGTGTGGATACAAGGTGTGGGGTTACTCACGACTTTGCCTTGTCGATGTTGCGCGTGATCAGGTCGTGGTCGTAGTAGAACAGGCCGATGCGGATCAGGTGAAACACGATGTCCATCTTGTGACCGATCGCCACGGTGATGTCGTACGTCTTACGGAACGCCGTCACGGCCGCATCCTGATTGGACGAAACGTTACACAGGTCGCGGTTACGTCGGTGTTTCAATACGCAGCGACGCAATGCGTGCGTACTTGCACGGACGCGCAACATCGAGATTAATTTGATAACCACCAATGAATTGTGAATTGTAAATAATAGGAGAAGATTAAATGAGCGTAGGTATGTATGTGCGTTTCTTCACGATCTTGCAGAAACTTAAAAGAGAGTATAAACAAGGGTAGAAATTAACTTTTGAACAAGGGAGTCCAACGGACTCCCTACCCTCAAAAAGAGGGAGTCCTCAGTCTGAGGTTCAAAATTAAAGATATTAACAATAACGCATGTGCTTATTTTTAAGATTCATGCAGTTGCACGTCTGCCAAATTTTCTTTGGAAATTAGCTGAGAAAATACAGCCGTGCTTCGGAACAAACTAGTTAGTATGGCAGAATTTTCAGGGAGTCACACGGACTCCTGCATATGTCAAATCAGGGAGTCCGCTCTGGAATGAACTAGTTAGTATAGCAGAATTTTCAGGGAGTCACACGGACTCCTGCATATGTCAAATCAGGGAGTCCGACAGTAAATCAGGGAGTATTTGACTCCGAACTCCCGTTAATTTCGTACCCTGGTATAAAGGTCTGTGACACTGACCAAGTGAACAATGAGTGTACGTTTTCTCTATATGACTGCTCGCGACATCAGTATAGAGGAAGATGATGCTTCTGTCATCTGACGGAGTGACAGCGAGGGCCCAAGGATAGAGAACATGGGTCCCACTAAAACCAATGTGCCTAACCCTAATTCTAACCCTGACCCTAACCCTGACCCTTACCCTAACCCTAACCTATTATATTGATATAATATTATATTTATATTGATGTAAATGACATTGGTTTTATTGGGACCCATGTTCTCTATCCTTGAACCACAGCGAGTGACAAACATGACATTTACCTTGTCTCCTATTTTACAGAGATATTCTGCCTTGGCCAGCCAAGCATCTCGAATTTCCGTCTCTGTCAGGTTGGCTTCCATGTCTTTTATCACAGCATCTAATCTCTCGAGTTCTACTCTGTTCTCTTCCTTCAGCTTAGCGAGGAGTTTACTATCCGATTTCCAGCTCAGATCTTTACAAAGCTCCTCATAAAAAGGTGCCATGGCTGAAGTGTATAATAATTAATCTATTAGTATTATACGCCATTGTCTTCAATGTTTGTATACGTGATCATTCATGAATCATGGTATACAATAGGCCTACAGGCTACAGCACAGGCACTTGAAGCATATCAACTGTAAGCGCACGGCACCGCCATTGCGCGTACACTAACACATATATATTGAGCAGGTGCGAAAGCGTGCGCCAGGAATTCGCTCGACGCTC